GTGGTCGCTCCTGGTAACACACAAACTTTTTTGATTCCGTTCTTACATATACTTTCTACCAACTTAAATCTAGTTGTTTCCTAAATGCATGTGTACTTAAATGACTAGTTAGTACAGTCAAATAAGACCAAAAAATGGGCATTCCGTGCATCAGATATGTCATCTCTAATTTTTCTTTTAAATTGTTAGGATCAATATGGATGTGAAAAATCCAAGTTTTCGACATCGAAAGACCTGTGCGAGCGACACAGCACTTGAAAATATGTCATTTTTCTTACCATTTTTTGGTTTTACTCCTGAAGAACCGATTTTAATGCAATGATTGTCGTAGGTATACTTTTTTGACTTAGACAAAATTTCTGACAATTCAAGCCCTTAACGATCTCCGCAAGGCTAATAGTTTCCGAGATTCGGTGTCCCTTTTGAATGGTCGAGCAAGGACAGGCAAAAGGAAAAAATTCACAGATTTCACAATCCATGCAACAGGTAGTGGATCTTGCTGAAGAAGAAGAAGATGACAACTTTCTTATCATGGGAGATGCTGGGGATCCAGAGGATATCAACATTCTAGCTCTTTCTGTGCGTATTTATGGAGAGTCCTCACCACAAAGTTCCCCCAAACGAATAAAATTATAAAAATGTTCATGAGATTTTACGCGAAAAACAGGCAAATTTGATTAAAACTGAAGAATTTACGAATCTTTGAAACGCTGTATCTCCAAAACTATTAGACTTACAGAGCCGGTTAAGGGCTTGAATTGTCACAAATTTTCTCTAGTTTAAAAACGTATACGACAGTAATTGCTTTAAAATCTGTCCTTCAGAAACTAAAACTAACCAAAACCTAAAAATAATAGGAAAAATGGGCGTATTTTCGAGTGCTGCGTTGCTCGCACAGATCTTTGGATGTCGAAAACTTGGATTTTTGACATCCATACTCAGCCTAACAATTTAAAAAAAAAATAGAAATGACACATCTGATGCAAGGTATTAGGATAATTTGACTGGACTAAGTATCTTTGTTTTGAATAAACAAAGTAAGTCTTTTTCTTGGTATCGTAGTCGTTTATTACTTTGATAACGCTTGACATGTTCTCTTTTTCTACTCCACATATCCACCCCATCTTAGTTCACTGACACCAGTATAGTTCAAATTAGTACCATTGAATATCCAACTGGATATTCAATGTTAGTACTGAGCATATCTCATTTTATGTTTTCTAGTTCTAAACGATAAACCTATTCCTCTCTTTCGCCAACTTGGGAAATCAGCAGATCTTTAATGCAGTGGTTTCCCTTTCTCTTCTACATCCTATGCCCTTGACTATTGTTCATCTGCCTTTTAGACAGATTTCTCTTTACAAGGGCAAGAGACAAGCCGTTAGCACTTGATGTCTTTTACGATAGGTAGGAAATACCACAGACACAGAGACCTGTAGGTAAGGGTCATGTCATGTCACTTTGGAGACTGATTTTTAAGCACAACTTTTTATATGGAAACCGGTACCTACACATCAAATTGATCAGACAGGAAGTTTTAATTAATTTGGTACCTGCTTTAAAGATATAGAAAATTTACCTTGAGTACATTTGGATAATTTTCATAGATTTTTTAATCTATTATATTTCATCAGAAACCCATAGTAGTAGCAAACAGTAACTATATTATTTGGTAATAGATAGATAATTGAAATTGCACTCTGGGGGCTTCTTATTCGCAGAATAACTTATATATAACTTGATCAAAAACCATTTCTCTTTGCCATTTAGAGAGAACAAAAGTTTTATTAAAATACAATCATTGAAAACCAGGGTTAAGGGTGTATTCCACTTAAATTTTAGTTCTATCTGACGTATGATGGGTTGCATAAAACTTACTTGTAACAAAGATCATACTACACTAGATAGACAGCGCTGTATAAATTTTAGACTCTCATAATTCGTCCCGCCAAATAAGTCGACTGCGTCCTCCAGCGGCTATGTTTTTATGAGAATAGTACAAACAACCTGGCGGGGTAAGAAGACGCGCGAAATGGCAAAGCACAGTTATTTTTAGAATAAAGGGCTATTGTATGTGATATCGGTGTCATTCCTAAGCGCAACCCTGTGTGGGTGTTATAGATGTTTTTATCTGGTTACCTTACTGTAAATTAAAATACCGAATATTCACATCTTGTTTTAAATCAAATTTTTTATCGTAACACAACGAAGTTGAGGTAAAGCTTATGTGCTCGTGTTTCCGTCTGTCCGTCCGTCCGTCCGTCCGTCCATCCGTTCCATCGAGATCTCGGCCCCTGGGCCACCTAGAGACTTCGGGTTTTCGCTAATTGATAGCCGTTATGGTCTATATTTTCCCATTTCGATCAGTTTCGTATTTTCCATATTTTGCGCAGACTGCGCAATGCCAACTTTCATATTTATGGAGATATTTCTTTGAAATTTTAACCACAGACGCTTCTAGTTCCGACTCACTTTAGCTGGACACAATTTTATTATATAGGAGGCTAAGCGGGATATCTCGTTTATCCCAATCATAAAAATAAAATCTAAATTAGATAAATGTGTGGTTACAATGTAAATATGCCTGGATAAGTAGGTGCATATTATCACAGATTTATAGTATATTTAAATCTGTGATATTATATTTGAAGATTTGCTAAAGTATCGTAGATACGTGAAACTAAAAGTTTTCAGAAATTATGCTAAGAAAAAAGACGCTTTTGCAATTATAAATTTAATTCGAAAATCTGGAAAATGTATTGGTTAGCGCTGGTTAAAAAAAAGCAAAGGGAATATTGTGTACAACTTTCAAATTATTTCTTTCATTGTAACGTCCTGACTGTAATAGAATCTACCTCGTCTTGAATGACGCCCACTTACAAATGTAATTTTATCCCAATGATAGTGAGGAGTGTTCAGTAGGTCATGTTAATGTGTCTCGTGTTTAGACAATAATCACTCTTTGTATTTATGATATGATTCTAACTCGTACGAAGACGGCTTCGGATGAATCAGTTACGCTCTTAACTTTGAAAGCCCCCTATAAATATTTTTATGGAACTACTTAAACGCGAAACAACTCTTGCATATACGCTGCGCTGGCTATCTAGTGTAGTATCTTTGCTTGTAATGAAATGGTAACGAATAAACAAAGATTGAAGAATTTACCTGCCCAACCATTGTATAAAGTACACAAGTAATTACGCTAATTTACCCAGGTCATCAGTCATTGTGACGAATATGCTTATATAATTAAACATCGATTAGAAAACGCAAATCATTGTCACAACTGCTAATCCTCAATAATTTCACTTTTCCCAGTTTTTCATAAAACGTATATATTTTTTTAAACCCAGTAAAGTTACTTCATAAATTATATTGACCCTATCTGGAAAATAACGCCTGTAAGCGAATAAGTACCTATAATTAGATATCTTTAAAAAATGCACATCCAAATCCCAAACATTTATTAGGTCCACCATGAAAAGTTTAGGGGTTTTTCAAAATTTCATCTAATTCGGGATCAACACAAAATAAATGAGGACTAACGCTTTATACGCAAACTAGATCTCTTTCCGAAAGATGCTACATGGGAATAATCTCAAATTTTTATCACACTAATATTTTAGGCGTGTAAAAAAAACGTCAGAAAAGACGCAAACTTTTAATTCACCCAAAAATAAATCACATTTTCCGTGTGAATTCTATTACCCAGTATATTATGTAATTATAATACGTTCTAATGAATCCGGTTTCTATTTGTAAATGAATCCCGATAAACGCAACAATTCCGCTAATGTAGTCAGGTTTGCCGTATGATGCTACTTGCCTACTGTACATTTATAAATGGCGAATGACGCTACAAGTTTTCGTAAACAATTTCGAAGGAATCGTCTAAAATTTTTTGTAATTTATTTGAAAGTTTGATTGATGACTCTATGGTTTGCTAATTTTTTTTCTGAGTATGCTACAGGGAGATTTTTAAAATAATTTGTGTTGACGCCATTTTACCTATAAAAGTTCACTTTTTATTGACAGTGCTCTAAAAAATTGTTTTTTCTTAAATATTAAAATTTTGTTCTGTAGCATACTTTTTAAATGTATAATTTACACGAAAAAAATTAGCCCCGTCTTTTATCTCATGTTTTACAGAATTGAGACGAAAATAAATCGCACTATTTTCGCATAAATGTTGTACTACTGGATTACACCCTTAATGGTGGCCTTGAGTTGGCCGGGTGCCTAGGGTACGCTCGGGCCCCGGAATATTTGTCCTTGTTTATCCTTCGCATCGGTATGGGCGGCCCCTCGTAATCTCAATCAACGTGCCCACAATTTGCACAATAAAAATAATGCACATTTCAACACTTTCCGTGATATTTTTAGACTTAAAAACTCAACAATCGACTACTTATGTATGAGTGGTAGAGCGTTGTGCTACATAGCCGGAGGTCGGGTGTTCGAACCTGGGCTGAGGTAAGAATTTTTCATTTGTGACAGAGATGGGAATTTCCTTAGATTAGTTTCGAGCATTCTGCCAACTACTCCGAATTAGGTTTTCCTGTAGCTTTCCTAATACGTAACCTTCAGCAGGGGCACTGCTCAAGAGCATTTCTGTAACTGGGGGCAAGCCTGTTGAGGGCTCGGAACGAGAAAGGGATAATAAATAAACAATTTGCAGTGTTTTTTTTTTATTTGACAGAGTTTCTGTTTGTGGCTTTAATTATTGAAACGCACTATAAATGAGGGGAAACATAAATATACCAAAATCCTCTCTTTCCTAATCTAAGCCTAAGCCAAAATGCAAAGATCAAAATGTAACATGTATCGTCCTCTACTGAATGTCTTAGTAAATATAACTCAAGTAATATAGAGAAATTGTTCGTAATGAAAGCACTCTGTAACTTTTTCGTATTGTGCCGCAATAGATGGCAGCAATAATTCTAAAAACATTTATTTTTCTATTTCCATCAAAGAAACCTGCAAGTATTACTTCAGAATTACCGAATAACCTCATTCATTCGCAAATTATCAGTAGTTGGGAGTTTATTTTGAAGGAGTTCGTGCGATAATATCGAAAGTAAATAAAAGTGAGAGTGTTTTTTATAGTGAATAAGTGGAACTGTTACACACAATTAAGGCCATATGAAACAGTCGAGATGATTGACCAGAATTTTGTAGAAGTTAATCAAATAAACAGCTTCCTCGCATTCATATGGAGTGTATGTATTATTAGATGATATTTTTTTAGTTTATTTTTAATTGTCTTAAATTGATAAATGAAATAATCGAAGAACTTTGAAGCATAAAACTAGACTAGACAGGACGTGCGAAGGTTTATCCATCAAGGCAAACGACTTTGTTTACTTACGAGTTTATTGTTTATTCTAATATATACCCTACTTATGATATGTACTTGCATTGGGTACTGCCGACGGTACTGCAATTGTTTTGTAATTATGTTTTTGGTATTTATTCCGTGTTATCGTTAATTGATAATATTTATCAATCAACGGTGTTAGGTTAATTATTGAACAATGTTACGTTCGCTTTTGAATTATGTAAACACGAAAGGATAATGGATAATATGCTTCACGTCCACGGGAAAATTTCCAAGACCGCTCTGAGGGTGGTATGTCAGTATGTGGGACACGCATTACTTACCCGAACCCTAAGGAATTTTGAAATGTGAATGTGAAGTATGGGTTCAATTCACTCCATTAGTGATTACTGATTTCACTAATCTGACATTTTTGTTAGGGTGCCTAAATATTATAATTTATATACAATTATACCATAATACATTAATACAGGGTGTACCTACCACGACGAAATCACTTAGTTTTAACGATTTTTTCCACTCAATTTTTAATGTTTTCCCCGAGGTTTTCCCTGTGTTTATTTCTCGATTTATTTATAATCAAAGTATCACCACAGTCCACTAACCTCATAAAACGAAACTAGTGCCAATTAAACAATAAGTGTTCGCATTTAGAATCAATTGGCAATTCAGATTCGAACTGCAATACTGCAAACATCATTTTTGACGTAAAAATCTCCCTCTTGTAACCCCCTGCGGCCGCCCATGGTTATTGTACTTAAGTACTTACAAGTTGTTGCATATTAAAATCCGCCCCCTTGGATGTCCTGATGGGAAAGAATTTATTTTGCATAGTGATCAAATTACCCGACTTTTTGCTTAAAAAATCGTATGGAAGATGATACTTTTTTCACGATTTTTAGTATGCGTTTCCATGGCGTTTAGTCTTATCCTTGGTCTTATCTATGAACCATAGCATCAATTTCTGCTCGAATTTTGTTTGACAGTAAATGGCGTATGTCAATGATATTATTGATATGATAAAAACGAGGATAAAAATATTTTTAAAAAAACAAAAGACAGAAGCTATTTACCGAGCTATTTACTCTCGTATTTACCTATAGGTACTCGCATTTTATCGAGCATTTTACATTAAATTACGAGTTAAATTATGTTTTTTTTTCTGTGCTACATCGTTTTCTAACCCGTTTTCTAATTAAAGTAAAAAGTATAAAGTAAAAACCGAGGTAAAAACACACATTTTTTAATGCCACTGAACTCAAAATTGTTTGTAAAAAGGGTAAGGCAAAAATAACTCGGAAATCTTGTAACTCGCCAATATATTTCGAAAAATAAGTGACATTTCTTTGAAAATGCGCTTATTTCTAAAAATATCTCAAAAAAACAAGGAATTCAATTTATTTAGGTATAATTACATTTTACATTAGGTTAAATTTTTCCGAGATTTTTCCTATATTGCAAGACTCGTCGGCGGTTGCGGAAAGATTTCTACTTCGATTGTGAACGGATATCTGACAAGATTGCGAGAAGTGATGTCCCCATCGGGTCGGGTACACCTATCATTTTGTGCTATTTTTTAAAGATTGACCGATACGGTATTTTTGACCGATACCGATATCGGCCGATATTGCAATGGCGATACCGATAAAATACTTAAATAACAAGAATCAATTGTGCACAAGTCTTGTACAGATAAAGCCCATTTTGCCTTTGTGAGTACTCTTCTCCGACAGACATTCGCACCTCAATTGGCACTTAAAGTTTTGACATCACCAATGGATGTCTCTTTCAGACATTCCAATCTGCCTTTGTGAGTACCCTCTTCGGACACTTTGTTCTCCAGATACATTTGATACTTTCTGAAATTCAATTGAGGAATCTTAAATACATTTAACCTGTTCTGAAATTAAATTGATTTATCTGAAATTAAACTCTTTAAGTACTCTCGGGGTAATGCAGGACACAATTCTTTTGAAAGTTTTATCAATTTATGATCGCCTCGATGATTGCAGTATGTATGTATCTTATATAATTAATTACGTTTACCCAGTTATGCGAAATTGTACAATTATTCATCTTATGCATCTAGGTCATGGCATTTAGAGAAACGGGTTTTATGTAGCCAATATGAAATCTGATAGGAGATTGTTGTGTCAGTTACAATTCTTTTTCTTTTTCACGATTTTTTCGTCATTCACTTTACTGAACGTCACTCAAAAATTATGCACCTGGGGGACAAAACGCTCATGCCGCTCACAGCGCGGAAACATCACGTCTTTCGCATTGTGGCATACTTTGTAAAAGATTCGCTAAGGTTCTAAGAAGTTTTAAATTTTGAACAATTTCACAATTTCTAATAGACTCATAAAACGAGTCATAATAAAGCTCGTGTTTAACATACACTCGTGTCTAGAGTGTCGTTTATAAAACGTATACATAATATCTCGCATAATATACTATTAACAGTTCTTAAAGATTATTTCGAGATTATTTAAATCAAATTTATAAAACCTTTATCTTAAAGACCAATTCTCATAGAATGGAGACTCCCAAAAGTCTTTGAAAATAACGGAGATATCACCGAAAAACTGAAAAGGTCAAATTTGGTTTTCATTTTTCCTAGTTTAAATGCTCGAAAATGGTCGGTTCCCGTTAGCACCTTCTATGGGCACTTTCTTTCGGAGTTTCGGTGCTAATTATTTTAAAAAAAGCTTGCCAAGTGACAATGGAGTTCCGGCCTTGATTTATTTGCCAAGGCTAAATGTTGTGCTCTTCCGTCTCAGATGTGACATCATTTTTCATATTGATTGATTACTTGCCTCTGGTCGATATTAAAATAGCATAACAATGAAACATAATCGAGAACATAATAATGTGGGTGATTGCTGATAAGCTGGGTCGACGGCCATTGTCAGCATTGCATTGAATTCGAAAGCGGTTGCATGCTTGAGTATGAATGTACAAATGTTTAATTCATTTTTGTTGACTGTAGTCACAAAACAATTTGGTTTGCATCGTGAATATGGTCCTTTACGGCGAACCTCGCGGCGAACTATTCCTTTTTGACCCATACCTCGGCCCATTCTTGATCGTTCTCCCTTCTTGGGCGTTGCCCGTTTGTTTGGCCATTTATTTCTAGATTAAGCAGGCGCCTACACTTAAGTTGTTTGTTTCAGTCTCGGTTTCAGTTTATATCTGAAGTAACCAGACATTATCAGTAGGTAATTTTAGATTAGGTACCTACGTCATATTTGGATTTACCTACTATTTGCGATTATGAAATCCTCGATGAAATCCATTCGCAAAATTCTTCCCATTGCTTTAACTTTCAAGAAAATAACCATCAACACAACGAGTAGGTAAATACTTAATTAAATAATTCTAAAAATGAGGGTGGAACAAAATTAGGTTAGTTAACACCAGGGACTAACAAAACAAGATCTTTGCGTGCTATCTAGGCGGTAGAATTTTTTATCTTTCAGTGAGGGTCTTTAAAGATACATCCTCCGGATCGAAAGGAAGTACCCTCGGAAGTACCATTCCAATCACCCCACTATTTAGTAATTTTTAAAATTTTAATGTCGTCTCCATAGTCTGGTTAATGTGTTATCTTCTTAGATATGTAATCTACACAAAATGAGCTAACCACAATAATATATTCGGATACTGTGACAAACTTCCGGAAGTTTGCAATATGGCATAGCAAACAACACATGTTTACTGTACATACTTACCAAGATGCTACCCTCGATGCTACCTCACTCTGTATTTTACCCTCGGTTTTACCTAAAGTGTCAATCGATAACAATAATACAGGGTGTCCCAATTTTGCCCCATCCTTATAACATAAGTTTCAAAACAATTTCAGCAAGTTTACCTTACAAAATGCACAATGATTATTATTCTCGTTATTAATTATCATTTAGCAGGAAAATCCCTACAATTTGAAACCACGGGGTGAAAAACTGCACTCGATTTCCAACAATCCAATGTTCCATTCATCTGCTACGATTTTGATCCAAACTTCTTACGGATATGGTTGATTCCTGTAATTGTTTACCTTTACCTTAAATGTTTTATTAGGTTTGTATATTTTTTCTCAAATGAGAAGGGGGTTCTGTAACGGGACAATATTAGGATTGAATTTTTGTTTCGATGGGTTATTTTAGTTTGTAAATATTTTTTGTTTATTTATTAAGTCGAAAAGTCGAATGTTACAGGATCATCATTTGGGACGTTTTAATTGCGTATTAGGGTTAGGTAGCGCAAACTTGGCGCTTAATAAGTCTAGGTTTATTAGAAATAAGGTAATTAAATTAAAAATTCCATTGTAAAATTAAGCGAATTGTCAGTTACACGGTATGTTCACAATTAAACTTCCATTGCCAACTACCTATGACGCTGAATTTTTGAATCTATCGAAATTAATTATCTTAAACTTGTTTTTAATTTTTAGACCAATTTCTTGAGGAGCAGGTTAACCGTATGGTTTCGAGGTCCAAGAATTAAACATTGATTTGCCCCTATATTATCAACATTGATTCTGTTTATCTCTGTTGTATGTAATTGTTCTTTGAAGCCTCGTTTGAAGCTATGATGGTTGACATTTATGGGATATTTTCATAAAATCTATGATCGTGAAAGGGTTCATTTAACATTATCAATTAGGTACCTTAACTTACTCACATTACTCATATGAGAAAGATGGTGAAATATTTTGAAAGTCGAGTTCTTCTCCTTCTTTCATCTGTCTACCACCTGTTCTTTTCATCAAGAATGCGATCTCAAAGATTCCGGAGTGCGGAAAAGCCCTTTTGGCATCCTAACGCTATCTCGTAAAGTAGGTATTTATTCGATTTTATCAAAATTGAGATATAATTG